ACCATGAGCCTGGTGGGATTTGAACAGCCAAACTGCTGAACTGCAGTCAGCTGAAGTAGCCTGCAGTGCTGCATTTAACCACTGCGCCACCTCGGTATTGGGGTTATGTCACGCAAAAGAAAAAAGAAAAGCAAATCTATTGAAGAAAGGATTAAAGAGGAAAAGAGTCAATGCAATGGAAGAAGTAGCTACGGATGCCACTTTAGCCACCCAACTGAAGATGGAGCAGAGGTCAGACCAATTATCCACAGGGTTACCATGAGTCAACATCAACTTGACAGCAAGAAACAATAAAGCTAAATTAATTATATCCTTTAATAACATTTTGATTTCAGCTTATAGAAGGGAGAATGATTGGAGAAAAATCATATCCTGCTAAGACATTATCAGTCAAGCCTTCCTTGCTCCTTCTGTCTCACACCATTTTCATACATTTCGTACATTCTGCTGAATGTAGAGCATTGTAGAGCAACCTTTTTTGAGAAAACTCTTGCTTTTTCAAGATCAAGCCCAATGCTCTCCATTGCCTTAAATCTAGTCAGCAAATCAATAAGTCTCTGGTGACTACACTTAGCATCTTCAGTAGAGTGATAAAAGTGCAGTTTAGTTCTCATCAGTTGTCCTATTTTACAAATTAGATTACATTACACGGGAGAGAATTTAGGAGACCAGAAATGCTTCTCGGCATGTAGTCAATTGACAGATGATTTAGAGGATAATATTGTTCTATATCAAAATCTACAGCTTTTTAAAATGAATTTGCAACTCTGCCACAGCAAGCCATTCTATGGGTGTTCAAGTCATAGTTTCTGAACATTTTAAATATGCTCTTCTCACAAACTTGCTCCTCTCTCCTGGGTGTGGATTAATTTCTGGTTCTTGATGGCTTCCATTCTGAAAACTTTCAGAAGCTACCGATATCTATTTTCCCAGTGTGGGGGTAGAGTGATGTTTGAACCCCTGTTGAATAGGTTCTCCTTGTTTATGGTGTTTTTTTTTGGGGGGGGGAGGTTATTATATTATTTATTTGTAATTGTAAGGTGCCCAGAGTCATTGGGAATCTGGCAGCCTATGAACTGAATAAAAGAATAAAAAGTGATGTTCGGAGGCCTATGACACCATGCCTGAACCTGGGATAATAGCAAAATAAGAGCTATTTTGGTATAGTGGTTAAGGTGCTAGTCTAGAAACTGGGAGACTGCGAGTTCTAGTCCTGCCTTAGGCATAAAAGCCAGCTGGGTGACTTTGGGCCAGTTACTATCTTTCAGTTCAACCCACCTTACAGACTGGTTATTGTGGGAAAATAAGAGGAGGAAGGAGTATTAGGTACATTCACAGCCTTGTGTTACAAATAAAGTAATAAAGGCAGGATAAAAATCTAACAAAATAAAATACACTAAAGTTACACTTAAAATCTTTTGTGAAGTGGAAAATGAATTAGAGATCTGTCCTGATCTTAATTAGAAATGTACTAGTGTCATTGTTTATGTTACTATTTCCTGCAGCACAACAGTGAATTTTTTTGTCAAAGAAAAGTCCACATTCAATTGCTTTCTGTATACCAAAGCAGAGGATCTCAGGTTATGCGTGTCTGCAGCCACTTAGGTAGCACAGAGGGGGACCTGTCTTTACGCATCATTAAAAGAGAATTATGCCTATCACTTCTTCTGCTTAGCTGACTTATTTTATGGATCGTAAGTTGTGCCAATCAAGCAGGTCTAACAGCTTTTTCCAATTCACTGCCCTCCATATGTGTGAGACTCTCATTTTCACGTTTCCAGCCAGCGTGATGCTTGGCTGCTATAGCTGGGGAATTTGTGAAGCTTCAGTTGTGATGGAAGATAAGAAAGGCTGAGGTGTATATGACTATGCAACCATTTTTGTAAAATAAATGAACATCAAGTTTTATAGCATATGAATAACAGGATTTAAGACATAATTAAAAATACAGTATTAAAGTAAGTAATGCAAAGCAATAGTTTTCAATCTATTGATATTGTGTAAGCCATCTTGAGTCGCCATGGCCCAGTAGGCAGCAGTATAAATTTTCTAAAACAAAAATAAACCTGCTGTGTAACACATTTAAAATATTTCTTTAAAGCATCTTTCCTTACTATCCTTGATAATGGCTCAAATCTCTCTCCTAAGCTTTTAAAAAAGAAATTGAAACCTATGGAAGAACTATTGGAGGACAATATGTATCAGGTTTTGCTAGATTTCCTGTTTTTTCCAATTTCCTCTTGGCTCTTCAATGACTCTCCTGTTTCTTAACATAACACACACGCAGACTTTACTTTTGAGATAATTTAATTGATTGCACAATGTAGCCATGACCTTTGGAGAAATTTATTCAAATTAGTAGGCTCCCAGAGCACTTGCCTCAGTGTTAATGTTAAAAGAGCAGTTGGGTGATTTGCAAACTTTTCATTAAAAAGCTAGGATGAATGTTATCGTTGCTGTCTCTCTGACCCCAGCAAAACTCATGCAACATTTTATTTCTTCAGCTGCCTAGCAAAGAGTGTTGTCTGCAAGCCATCGCCAACCAATTTCCTTTCCGCAATCTAACATGTTTTGTTACAAGCACACATATTGCATTACACAGCAGGAGCAGGAAAGCCAAAGCTTTGTTCCCAGAGGAGTTATTTTATATCAGCATCCTCTAAGCGGTGACAAGCGTTATTGTGCACATGGCCTGCAGCAGTACAGAAGTCTCTTTCTTCTCCCAGGATTTGCAGAATCTTTGGAAAAAAACATTGTTTTGATCTAGATCAGGCATGTCAAACTCAAGGCCCATGGGTTGGATCCGGTCCGCGGGGTGCTTAGATTTGGCCCAAAGGGCCGACCTGGAAATAGCAAAGGATCGGCCTGCAGTGCCTGCTACTGAAAATGGGGTTTGCGCCCTGTTCTGGGCCTGGACAGCTTCCTGCAATGTTGGAATCCATTCCGTGTGTGTGTGTGCAGGGCAGTTTCTGCTGTCTGAAACACACAGGGATGCAAAAACATCGCACCAGAAACATCTTTCCGGCCTAACGGTCAGGACTCACTATGCAGCCTCA